TATGTATACATCGTTATATGTTATAGACTGTGATAGACAATTTGCTCCAGGAAAGTTAGAATGAACTTGTGACTTTAAATGAGCATCATTATTCCACAATACTGTGAAATTCATGAAATTATGTAATCACTTAATCACAATTTAAAAAAAAGAGAACCTCGGGGAAGGTAGGGAAAGAAGGGATGGTAGGGGGAAAACAGTGGAGGGGGTAACAATGCTCAATAGGAAGTGTACTCATTACCTTGCTCGTGTAACTGTAACCCTCTGTATAGTATCTTTACAATAAGAAAATAAAAAAAGAAGAGCACAGGATTTAAAAACTTACTACAACCAGGTGCAAGTAGTTTATGCCTGTAATCCTATCTATTCAAGAGGCTGAGATCTAAAGAGCACAGTTCAAAGCCAGCCAGGACAGAAAAGTTCATGAGTCTCTCACCTCTAATTAAGCACCCAAAAAAGCCAGAAGTGGAGCTTTGGTTTAAGTGATAGAGTGCTAGCCTTGAGCAACAAACAAACAAACAAAAAAAAAACCCTCAAGGACAGCCCCTCTGCCCCCACTCCCTGAGTTCAAACCCCAGGACTGTCACAAAAAATGAAAATGAAAAAACAAAACAAAATACTTAACTACCAAAAAAAAAAAAAAAAGCCAGGCGCCAGTGGCTTAGGCCTGTAATCCTAGGAAGTTGACATTTTAGGATCTAAGTTCAAAGTCTTCTTAGGCAGGAAAGTCCATCAGATGGTTGTCTTCAATTAACCACCAAAAAAACCAGAAGTAGAGGTGTGGACCAAGTGGTAGAGTGCCAGCCTTGAGCAAAAAAATCTGAGATACTGCCCAGAACCTGAGTTCAAGCTCCAATACCAGAAAAACAAAGTCAGCCTTACTGAAAAAAAAATAGAATATATATAAAATACATGCAGGTGGCCTATGTGTAAAAGGATCTAGGATGAGACAAGGCCACTTCTTTTCTAACTCAATATTAATTGAATAAATAATCTCTTGGGATACATAAAGCAAGCTTTAGTATTTTTTCATGGATACTCAAATCATCTTTACAATAAAACACACATGACAGGCTAAAAACTAAACAGAGTTCCATGGGTTCTGAATAGTGTAAAAACAAAATTGCATTAAAATGTTTCTTTTAGGAGCTGAGTTTTAAATGCCTTTCACGAAAAGCAATAAATAAAACAAGAAACACCAAAATGTAGGACCCTGAAATAACTGTGACATCAATCATTACAACTGAACAGGAATAATCCCCAATGAACTCCAAGTCTAAATTCTGCCATTAGCATTTTCATGTAAAACTTGGACTGCAATTGGTAAAATCGATGTGAACAAAGCCAAGAAAAAAAGTTGCCTTTGTAGTTATCATCGGAAAGAAAAGTGTTTATTTTTATATTTCTTTAGAAGCCTAGCAATTTTTGTGTGTGTCTGTGGCTTGAACTCAGGACTTCATTCTCTCGCTTATCTTTGAAGTATGAAATTGTCTATTTTACTTACCCTCTGGATACCAGAGGAGCGCGTAAGTTATCATCCACAGGAGTCAGTGACATATGCTGGTTAACAACATCTAAATACTTCTCAATATGAATCTGTTAATGAAAGTCAAAGTTTAGACCATTATGGTTGGACTTAAGATACTCAGTTAATTTGTTTCTTTAGATTAACAAACACTCTGAATCATGTAATTAAGCAAAAACAAAAATATAAACAACCCACATGCCTAAGGCCAAATTACTTCAACTCTCCCCAAAAGCATAATAAATGACAAAGGCTTAAAGTGTGAATCACCTGTAGTGCTCTTCACAAATAAAACTGCAAATAATCCTCAAGCTATGGATTAACCAGATCAAATCTCCCAGGAATGACAGACGTGTAGCCATGTACTTGCAGTCATTTGATCCTTATTTTATTTCTTTTGTGCTGGTCCTGAAGCTTCAACTCAGAACCTGGGCACAGACCCTTTGCTTTTTCATTCAAGGCTGGCACTCTACCACTTGATCCACAGCTCCACTTCCAGATTTTCACTTATTTATTGAAGATAAGAGTCTCACAAACTCTTTTGCTTGAGCTGGCTTTTAATTGGGAAATGAGGATATCTCAGGTTCCAGAGTAGCTAGGATTATAGACATGAGTGGTTTACCCTGCACCATTTGACCTTTAGATAAAATGGCCAACTCAGATATTCCAGATAAGTCTAACCTTCAGGTAACATTCAGGTAACACAGGACAATGACATGCTAGTCTGGTGAGACTAAAAATACTCTTCGTTTCTCACAGCCTCAGGAGATGAACAATGAAGCTGATTACACAGCAGAGTGCAAATCTAAAGCCAAAGCAGACATACTGAAAAGTTAAGCGTCAAAGTATAGACGATCGAAATGAGCCTTATTTGAAGATGAGCCCCATTAGCTAATACCTACTAGTTTCATAAATGAATATTATCATTGCCTGGAGTCTGAATTCTTCCCTGTCTTTAGGTCTGCACAATGTAATGACTGAAGTTTCTAACTACTTTATCTAACCCCAGATTTGAAATACTTTCACCTGTTTGATTCTAGTACTATAAGAAAGAAAAAGAAACAGAAAAAAAAAGAAAAGAAAGTGTTGAAAAAAAACACAAATAGCTCAGAATACTTAAGCTATTAGGAAAAGTCAACTCTCTTATTTTTTAGAATAGCTCTCAGTAGATCTAGATTACTTTGGTATAAAGCTTTATTGGGAACTGGGTGCTGGTGGCTCAAGCCTATAATCCTAGCTACTCAAGAGACTGAGATCTGCGGATCTCGGTTCAAAGCCAGGCTGGGCAGGAATGTCCATGAGACTCTTATCTCCAATAAACCACTCTCAAAACCAGAAGTGGTGCTGTAGCTCAAGTGGTAGAGCACACACCTTGAACTGAAGAGCTAAAGGACAGCACCCAGGCCCAGAGTTCAAGCCCCATGACCAACAACAACAAAAAAAAAAGCTTTATTGGGGATGTCAGACATATTGTTGGATTCACAGAAACTATATTTCAAATTCTTAAAATTTTATTTAATGGGCTGGGAAGATGGCTCAGTGGTAAAGCGCTTGACTTACATGCATGAGGCCCTGGGTTCGATTCCTCAGCACCACATAAGCGAAAAGGAAAAAAAGCCAGAAGTGGCGCTGTGGCTCAAGTGGTAGAGCGCTAGCCTTGAGCTGAAAAGCTGAAGGACAGTGCCCAGGCCCAGAGTTCAGGCCCCACAACCGGACCACCCCCCCCAAAAAAAATTCTATTTACTGAAACCACATGTCACAAGTGCCACTGCAGAATCTTGCATTTATTCTCTTTAAATTTTTTGTGGAATAAAATGTGTAAATCAGTCAGTTTATAGCAGTCATTACCATATTAAAAAAAACTAAAGGAATTTCAATTCTAAACTCACCTCTACTACAGAATGATTTAGCTCCTATGAAAATCACAAGTTGTTTCTTCTAAAGGTTTCATTGTTGTTTTCTGGTATTTTACTTATTATCTCAAATTCTACTTACTTTTAACCCTTTTTCAGTCCTTCTGATGGCTGTTTCAAGATTTTGAATGTCTAGAGCCTGTATTTTTTCATCAATTGGGTATTTTGTTATTTTTTCCTTTAATTGATGGAGATCTTCATGGATCTATACAAAAATACAAAATATTGTCAGAACACATCTATAGCAGTTATTTATTTTACAAATCTGAAATATGCTTGGGTTCCTAGAGTCATGAAGATGATTCTGTGGTATTCACTGGAAAGGATCACCTCAGGGATTCTAGGACATTCTTTGTTCTAAATATTCCATAATTCTTTCTCAGATTTTGAAGAAACAAGCTTTTATACAATTTCCCCTACTATTAGAAATAGAGGATAAAACTACAACTGAAATGGCTTCTGAAGTCTCAAAGCAGTTGAGCCTGAAATAATAAATTTGTACTAGACTTTAAGTTCTACAGATTGGTTAAGGTAACAAAATGGAAAACTTCCAGCCAGAAAGGTTGAGTAGAATCTAGCTTTTCAAAATAATATTAGGGCTACATGCAGTGGCTCACAGTAATAATTCTACCTACTGATTAGACTGAGATTTGAGGATCCCAGCTGCCCCATGGCGAGACTTTTTTTATGGGGCGGGGCGGGGGGGGGCGGGGAGGAAGCGGGGAGTCAGTTGTGGGGCTTGACCTCTGGACCTGGGTGCTGTCCTGAGCTCTTCAACTCAAGGCCAGTGCTCTACCACTTGAACCACAGTGTCACTTCCGGTTTTCTGGTAGTTTATTGAAGAGTCCCACAGATTTTCCTGCCCAGGCTGGCTTTGAATGGCAATCCTCAGATCTCAGCCTCCTTAGTAGCTAGGATTACAGGTGTGAGCCACTGGCCTCTGGCTTTTGTGAGACTCTTATTTCCAGTTAAACCACAATCACAAGCATAAACAAATGTCAGAAACAAAGCTGTGGCTGAAGTGGTGGGACACTAGCTTTGAGCAAAAAAGCTAAGAAGCACCTCCTAGAACCTGAGTTCGAACCCTAGTGCCAGCACACAAACACACACACACACACACACAAACACACCCCCACACACAGAGTACTACCAGGACATGCTGGTTTTCTGTCCTTGATTGTCTCACTCAACTGAGCTAAAGAAGAAGCTCTGAAGGTATGGCTTTGGTTTTATTTCATGTAATGAGCAAAGAAAACAATCCATGAAGGAGTAACAATATAGGATTACTTGAACATTTTCCTTCGATGCGTATTTTCCTTGGAAATGCTAAACTTCACTCCAATCTCAGGCACTCTGAGAATCCAATGGGCACTATGAAACTACCAGGAACAAGATTTTCATGTTAGCAACCAAACTTCAGATAAATACAGATGGCACCAATTATTGTATGGGCTGCTGCCACAAGAAAAACATTTTGTTATGCAAATCTATGAACCCAACACCTGTTTCAGCAATAGTCACACCAATAACAATCTGCAGGCTGGGTTGCTACAGGCATTTTGAAATGGGCACTTTTTCTCTGTTAGTATAACTGGACTCACATATTGATCCCAGCCCATGTTATTGATTACTAAGGGATATTCCCACAGAGTCAAGCACTGTATTCAAAAGATAAGAATTTGCATCTTTTCACTGATGGGCAACATAGTCTGGCAGATACATCTGGCCATTTGCACGCAACACAAATTGGCATGTAAAGCCTTCGGGGCTCACAGATTGGTGTCTGAAGATACCTACTATTTCTTTGTAAAACTAAGAATGAATATATGCTTCTTTCGATTGATTTGTCCAAATTATTGCTACAAATGGATTTACTGTCTATTGTTTGAAAACAATACAATCGACAGTTGAAGGCCCCTACTCTTTGGGTGGGGGTTCTTTCCTCTAAACTTATTTTCTTTCTAGTATTTGCAGCTCTATAGCTTCCTGCAGTTATGCCTATTACTGCCCAAGGGAGTAAAACTGAACTGGATTACTCACCAAGGTGTCAAAAGTTGTTGTTTTTTTTCTGTATGTCTTGTGCAAATAACAAGAGTTTCAAAATCATATGAAATAGGCCTTACTGTTACATAACAAGAACTCAATAAAATCTACTGGAATGGAAAGGGAGCTGTGGCTCAAATAGAGTGCCGGCCTTGAGCAAGGAGGCTAAAGAGGAGCACCTTAGCCCTGAGTTAAAACCCCAGTACCCACACAAAGAAAAGAAAAGAAAATCTGATGAAAAAATAATTCTTAGCTCTAACACTAGTCAAATGATTTTCGTATGTATCAGCTACATTTTCTGAACTCTAGTTTTTAGGGTTATTTGTGTTTGTGTGTGTGTGTGTGTGTGTGTGTGTGTGTGTGTGTGTGTGTGTGTGCGCGCGCACAGGTAAAGGAACATTGAATTCTGGGCCTCATTCTATGGCTTAGCTTTTGCACTCAAGACTAGCACTCTACCACTTGAGCCACACCTCTATTTCCAGCTTTTTTATGGTTAATTGAAGATCTGAGTCTAGAAGATTTATCTGCCTCTGCTGGCTTTGAACTATGATCCTCAGATCTCAACCTCCTGAGTAGCTAAGATTATAGGCATGAGCCACCAGTGCCTGGATCTAGTTTCTCTGGAGAGAGAGAGGGAGGGGAGGGACGGGAGAGAAAAGGAGGGAAGGAAGGAAGAGAGAGGGAGAGAGAAAGAGGGAGAATAATTGCTCTACTCCTTAGAAGTTATGAATGAAAATTCAGTGAATCAGGTGGGCACCAGTGGCTCAGGCCTGTAATCCTAGCTAATCAGAAGGTTGAGATCTGAGGATTGAGGTTCAAAGGCAGACTAGGCAGTGAGACTCGTATCCCCAATTTTCCACCACAAAACTGGAAGAGGTGCTGTGGTTCAAAGTGGTACAGCACTAGCCTTGAGCAAAAAAACTCAGGGACAGCACTCAGGCCCTGAGTTCAAGCTATGTGACTGACAAAAAAAAAAAAAAGAATCAATGTAAACTTTGTTTCTAAACATATATGAACCAGAATCTTTCTGTTTCTTAAGAAATTAAATGTGAAATGTTACTTAGCCTCTTAAACGCTTACTGCTCTATCTGTAATATGGAGATAAATAACAGCTACAGAAGGGTGGCAAGAATAAAATGGCATGTTAAATGGTATGTAAATTGCTTGTACAGTGCTAGTCACATACTGTGGTACTGGACAAATGTTTAATCTTCCTCTCTCGTTTGAAAAACCTAATCAAACTCTTGCACATAACTGATACTCACTAAAGATTCATTGAATGAAATTGCTCCCTTAATCTTTCTCAAGTGCCTTTTACTTTTCCTGCCAGATATTTTCTCCTCCCCTCTTAATAACCACCCATCTGTTTGTATAATTGCATCACCAACAAGTACTATACAAAATGTTACACCAGACTTGGTAGGAAATGAGATCAACTTCTTAATCTCTCTTCTTCTCAAATAGGACCAATCTACCATATTGAACTATGACCTGTCACCCATTATCTCTATGACCATCAAGCATATTGCTTTCTACTTAAACAAAGATGATTATTTTGACAGTCTGGGGACAGACCTACTTAATAAGTAGCCCTTGAAAGGTTTAATACAGCCAAGATTTGCTCTAGAATTTAAGAGTAGTGAAATCAGACTGCATGTAGTCATATTCAGTATAAATTTCCAATTTATTCATCTCCATTGAAGATAATTAAATTTAGAAAAAGTTTGGCTGAGTCATTCTCATCATTTTGAGTTATCTTGAACTGCATTTATTTTGCATTATAAAATCCTTTCAGGTTATACATTGTAAATTCATTCCCATATTTTTAGTCCATATAATTGCTGGACTTTTCAAATATAATTGCAAAACTAATTTAAAAAAAAAAACAATTTTGGGGGCTGAGAATGTGGTATAGTGGTAGAGTGCTTGCTCATGAAGCCCTGGGTTCAGTTCCTCAGTACCACATAAACAGAAAAAGCCTGAAGTGGCTCTGTGGCTTAAGTGGTAGAATGCTAGCTCTGAGCAAAAGAAGTTCAGTGACTGTGCCCAGGTCCCAGGATTGGCAAAACAATAACAACAAGAACAACAACAAAAAACAATTTTGATTGCAAGACCAGGTAACTTTTGATATATAAGCATATACTTAAACAAACATTTGTAAAGATATATTTCAGTGACATTACATTATTTTTAGTGAGGCATCAAAACAAAATTTACTAATAAAAAGATAGTTTTACAAACAGGTCATAATCTATGTAAGAATCAGTATATACTAAATGTATCACCTTGGGTAAATTACTTTATCTCTTTGTACTTTACATTCTGGTTTTTATGTGGGCCTATACTAATATATAGAGTTGTTGGGATTTATTGGGCTGTTTTGTGTGTGTGTGTTTTTCTCTCCTTTTTTGCCAGTAGGGCTTGAACTCAGGGCTTCTTTCTCTTGCGTGGCTTTTTCAATCAAGGCTACTGCTCTACCACTCTACCAGCTGAGCCATACATCCATTTCTTTTTTTTTTCAATTTTTGTGTTTTTTTGTTGATCAATTGTAGATACTTTCCAGGTACTTTCCTGCCTAGGCTGGCATCTATCTAATGTGATCCTCCAATCTCAGCTTCCGGAGTAGCGAGGATTGTAAGAGTGAGCCCCCACGGCCCAGGTAGGATTTACTGAGACTTTCCAGAGCTCTCAGAACAATGACTAGAGCTCAATAAATGTTAGCTATCACTATTATAATGATTGTCATTAGATAGTGAACCTTCATTATTCTGATTAGTTGAGGAAAGCTCCATCCAGATAAAAAGACTCAAACATGGAAGAAGTTAAATGGTTAATAGAATGCTGTCTGGAGAAGTCTCTCTGTGGAGAAGAAACTCTTATTTTCTAAACCCAAAATGAAAATGTGGACTTTGGCACATGATCTGACAGTGGGTTATGATCCTCACCATCAGAACTATCTAGAAAATCCAAACATTTAAGGCATGTGTTTTTATAAGTATCACAAAGGGATTTATGTTTGCAGCAATGATTACTTGTATTGAAATATTTTTACAAAGTACTAGTGGCTCATGCATTGAATCCTAGCTACTCAGGAGACGGAGATCTGAGGAGCAAGATTCTAAGCCAGCCCCACAGGACAATCTCTAAGACTCTTATCCCAATGAACTATCAACGGCTAGATGTGGAGCTGTGGCTCAAGTGATAGACTAACGACCTTGAGCAAGAAAAGAAAAAGAACAGAGTCTAGGGCC